ACCATGAAACGCGGAATGTGTGGACGTTTCATCGCTTATTGGGAAGGTTATTTTTAAGCATTGTGGTCGTTCTTTGAACCAAACAGCTCATGTGCTAACTAATCATAGTTATTGTAATAAGATTAGAACAAGTTGGGTTAACGAGCCTCCAGCTTGTATTATTCCTAAACTTTTAGATGATGTAGTTTAAGTTGTAATAAAGCTAGTCATGATGGCCTTCCTTAAAAAAAACTTCCGATTACCATCAGCGCACAAGCTTGTTTCGCGCAAAGATAGGCCGGTTGATTGGTGACTGTAAACACGTCGAATTATGAAAGAGGAAAACGATGAGGCTATCTCTCCAACTTCTAAAAAGATCAGTGCCACAACTAACAGGGAGCTGCGGCGAGAATTCCATTGATTGATCAACTCCTGACAATCTGCTTCCACTAGACAGGGATTATACACTACTGCCAGAAACGCTCTTATATTATGGGACAGAGGGAGTACAACATAAAGTTAGCAAATTTGCTCTTTTTTTTTCAGGCACGTACACCGCTATTTTTGCACAAACATTTGCAGGTGTGCATGTCATATATAGCATATGAGCACCCGTGATTTATCTCAGAACTGCACAACTGCTTGGCATATATAATCAGGTGAGGTGAGGCGGGTGAAATGGTGAGTTGAGACGTGAAAGCTTACCATCCTTCCAAGAAGGCCTTGTCACCGCGGCTCCGTGTCTGCGCTGGCTGCGGGGCACCCATGCCCGCGTCGTAGTTGGTCGGGTAGCCCGGCGGCGGCGGTGGCGCAGTCGGCGCGTAGTACGCCGCCGGAGGCGCCGCCACCACGTAGTTGGCCTGCGGCGGTGGGTACGCTGCTCGCCGCCACGCCAGCAAGAAGAAGAAGAAGAGAAAAAAAAGGCCGAACCATCAGTTCACGCAAAGGTACTAAGCAGCGAGCACGCGCGCAGGAGCCATTTTGGAGTCCTGTGGAGTTACCGGTGACCGGAGCCTGCTGCTGCTGGTTGAAGTAGCTCATGCTCGGCCGGACGCAGCAAGGCTCGGCTCAGCCGCTCGAATGTTGCTGGGAACTGGAGGGACCTGAAGAGTGGTCTGAGAGGCAAACGCAGGCTATATATGTAGAGGATACGTGCGGGTGAAGCACACCGGGACGTTCGACTCGAGGTTGCACGAGCCATTGAGCGTAGCTAGGAGGGCCGGCTGGTCGTTTGGGTTGCGAACAAAATCCGGCGGAGTGCCGCATGCAGCGTGGAGAAATAATCGGATTCAGACAGGATCTCGGCCGGCAGGGGCTCGACTGAATTTGTGCAAAGGTCTACCGAGAAAGGAATTGGGTCTGGGCCAGGGGTGGCAAGACAACGAGACGGCCCAAATCCATGTGTTTGGAAAGGGCCGATGCAGTCATTTTCTGTGAGGCCTTCAGGGCCCATTTCAG